CTAACACGCTTTTTCAGCCAAAGATAACTGCTTCATTTGGGTTTTGATGTATTTTTGTTACGTCTGTATGTTGTCACTTAGTATCTTGGGGATTGGTAACAGTGCACCTTCGACTACGCGAGAGTATTCATGCACTTACACTTTGCCACCAATCATGGTTGCTTCACCCATCTTCACTGATGTATGTGAATGAATGATCGCTGTAGAATGTTTTGTGGTGTTTAACCTCATCTCCTTTTCACATTCAAATTGTTTGTGATAAACTTGAAATCGCTCTTTTTGGGTGCAATTTGGTTAACCCTCAGTAACATCTGGTAAAGTACTGCAGGTTTCCCTGCAAAAAATGAATTAGGGTCTGTTTTGTATGGTTTAGTTGTTAGACTTTCCACCCGAAAACCAGCTTTCTGCCATCCTTGATGCATGATTCCTTTTTTGCAGTAACTTATGTTGGTGGCATTACCTTCTTGCTGTTTGGCATTGCGACCTTTGCCACCCACCCATATTCTGCCTGAACGTCGTTGGATCAAAGGCCTAATCGTCTTCAGCCTATCCACACCTCTGTTTTTCATTGATATTCTGGTGTACAACCGTCTTTTTCTGTTGAACCTCCCTATCACTGCAAATTGGTCATATGCCAATGTTCTTTCATCTTTTATATCATCTATTCCTTTTTTCTTCCTCACACTCCTACTTATGTAAATATTAGATGCTCAGGTAAGGCAATGGAATGTTTTTCACAATGTTTTGTATCAGCAATATTCAAAACCCCCTGTCAGTGTCATACAAGCATGGGCTCGGTTGCTTGCACATGCGCCTCGATTGTCATTCTCTTTGTTTGCCTGTTGTATACGAGGAGGGACAAATGAAGATATGGTATTGGACTTGCTGATAGATGATTTTTACATAACTGGTACTGTTTCCGTTAGTGTTAGCTTCTCTCGAGGGACTTTCCATAAATGTTATACGAGCTGTAAAGGTTTGTGATGTTGTTAGAGTAGTTCACGGTGAACGATCTAAATTAATGGGAGGCTCAACTTTTACCGACTTGTTACAGTACGTACGCTGCTATTGTTATGGATGGCTTTTAAGGTGGTGTATGGCCATGAACCGATGGATCTGGCTCCGTTTGTTCAGCCTTATTTTGGGAGGAATTTCCTCCCTTACATTTTATCTACTTGCGTTTGTGAGTACGCACCATAGTTTTCTATGTGAAAACTGCATCATAGGCTGATCGTTTAGGAGAGACAATGCGTACCTCGACAGGATCTCTTACTAAACTGTTTTTTGTCACCGTGATTCTTCTGTCTACGATTTTATCGTATAAACTCAAAGTCAAACTGATATCTGGCGAAACAGGAGTAGATTTATTGATACCCTTCCCCACATTTTGGTTACTGTGGTTATTGGATCAGATGAATGCAATGCTACAAATTGTAGAAAGGGAGCGGGCATTCCTTCAGCGAACCAATGGAAGCGCTGCTTCTGTGAAGTAGCTTGCATTAAGCCTAAAAAGCCGAATAAATGAAGCGAATGTGGGAGTCGTTGTTCAAAATGCCCTACTTATTGCCTTTTCATGTTTCAAGTTGTAATTGACCAGGTAAAAAGTTCATCTATGAAGCTATAATTGGTCACCTATAGTTTAAAACCGCCCCTGGAAACGTTGCTGGTAATTGGCATTTATGGTAGTGTATTTTAGTCACTGTTCATTGTGGCCACGCGCACGCAAGTCATTTGGATGCGCGGGCAAGTGTATGGAGCAAGGTGGCCAAGGTTGAAATGTCATTCCATTTTTATCGCTTGTCAAGTTTAGGGTG